AGAGGTGAAAGTATCCAGTATTTGATCATTGGGAAAAGTCAGAAAATGTGTAGCTATAAATAGTCCCCAACACAGGATTTACTCCTGTTTGAGTGATGTTTGCCAAAAAAAACTTTTTTAAAAAGCTTTTTTTTTTAACTACATATTTGTATCTTCATGGGGAACCAATGGGCTTTGGGCTGAGTGCCACATACAATTAGGGTTGCAGCGGTATACCGATACTGTGGTATGACGACTGATGGTTATCATGTGCATATGCTTATCGACGGGAATACATTTTTTTTAAATACTGAATTCTACTGTTATTGTGTCATTAAAAATATATAGCACATAATTTTTGTGAAGTATTTGTTCAAACCCCCCCCAAAAAACCGTTTTGCTTTCATTCCTTTAAGGGTCATTGTAACTGATGGTAATAACTATTGTCTACTACCGTATACAGGTAGACATCATCATCGTACCGTGAAAATGTTATACAGTCAGACCCTACATATAAAGTAGAGAAGTCATGAAGTATTTAGAGATGAACTAACAAATGGTTTTGGTACTTTTATGGGATTTATTTAAAAAAATGTATAGAAAAATACCAACTTTATCTTTAAAACATGAATATACAAGACTCCTATCATACTATACTATACTATACTTCTATCATCTATTATACCGTCTCTGTTTGATATTTGATATCTAGTTATTTTTATGATTTAAATTAAAAATTGAAGCAACTGTCAGGCTCAAAACTTTTTCTAACACTGTAACATTAACTGTAAAATGACTTAAGATTGGAAGTACAGATTTCACCTGATACTGACAACAAAAAAGTGCTATTATCACATTATGTAAACAAAAAAAATCAATAACTTCCTGTACAAAAGAATCTATATCATTCTGCAAAAATTAACTGCTCAGAAGAAAGAGCATGACAGCTAATATAAGACTCAACATGTGACCTCAACTGCACAGAGTGACAGAAAAACCAAAAGAAATTCAATTATGAAACCGCTACTTTGTCTGTAAATCTGTACATTGTAACGCAGCTGCCCCGATTTAAAAAAAACAAATGCTTCAACAGGCCAGGCCACATTTCTCTCTGTGTCATGTGACAGGCCTTGAAGAACCTGCTGACTGCAGAGCCTTCAATGAGACACTCAATCTCCTGTTCCACTGACCTCTCTCCACCTCCGCACTCCCAACGCCGACAGCCGTCCCCCTAAACGCTCTCACATGGCCAAAATCTCCCCCTTTCTCCGGAGAGACCCAAAGGCGTGCCCCAAATGCCCCCCCCCCAGCCGTCACCCCACCTCACCCCAAAACAGAAAGGCTTTTGTGTTTCAACGTGACAACCCCAACCGGTCTCCCATAACGGACAGAAACCTGTCTGGTCGACAGTTCTGCATCTCGGTCAGCGGCAGCATTAGGTCCGCATCTTTGTGGTGAGGAAGTTCTTGTGAAGCCACATAGCTCAACAAGTGTAAACAAGCCCCTTTCAGAAAACTGACACAAACTTTCTCTCCTACGGAGGGCTGCTGGGGACAAAAGTGTAATTACCTCTTAATTGTCAGCTTTGGTCTTCTTGTGATTACAAAGTTCAGTTATAAATGATTGTGGCTCGAGATGTGAGTGTCAAGAGCATCAAGAAACAAGTAGACGAGCTGTGTCACAAGTCAAAAAACTTAAACAATGCCTAATCTACTGTCAATTTAAGTTAGTGGAGCAGCCAAAGGTCTTCTGGGAATGAACTGTGCTGACTTAACTCTTCTGTAAAAAGCAGTTCAAGTGCTCATAAATCATAATGACAGGGAGTCCATATCAGTGAGCAATCCCGGGGCCAGAGAGTGGTTTCAGTGAGAATCCCCCGTTAGTTCACGTTGAAACAGCAGGTGTGTAAAGACAAGCACAGGGGGGATCTTACCAGAATCCATCCATTGTAAAGCCCCACAAGCTGTTCTTTGAACTGGAAAACAACCATCAGGAGGATCCCACACACGATGACGCAACTGTTCTGGACGAGCAGCGAAGTCTGGGCCACTGTGGAAACACCACGAAGGACATTAGGGACAGAAATATGATCAAAGACAACAGATTGCTGTCTGACAAACCAGTTCATTAGAGCGCTTCGACGACATGGTTGGACACGTTCCCTCGCTCCCTGATCTAATCTAATAGAGCCAAATTCCTCTGCATAAACATTCAACAAGGGGAGCATTTGACTGTGAAAGCGAAGCACATGTGCACATTGTAAAGGACGTCATAATGCCAGTCCCTGTGAGAGCGCTGCACGTCTAGCTTGTGGGCATTTCAATCATGACAAACTTGTGTTCTGACAGTCCTTCAACGCCGTGCTCCCTCCTTACCTTTGAGCCTGGGATTCTTGTCCACCCAGTCCCCAATGATGGCCCCCAGCAGCAGCACGGAGCCGGCCACCACCAGCCCGTACACGGCCGTGAGCAGCAGGCTGTTCCCGTACAGCTCCACCAGGAAAACAGCCACGGCAAAGTTCCACATTCGGTCGCCCTGTGAATTCACATCATTGGATTATTCGCTGATACGCTGATACGCTGATACCTGATTCTACACATCCACGCTGGTTGGGTGATAGGAAATGTGGTTTGGCTGCTGCATAAATAATAAGAGCCCTGACACATAAGAATCACCCTCTACACTTCAATCCATCCTTCACACACACACAGGGGAAAACATGTCATTTCATATTGTAATGACAGTTCTAACAACACACAATGTAACAATAACGCATTATATTTAGTTTGACAGTGAAAAAGCCACACATGGAGTCTGTCATCATGAGGTAAATACATGATGGAGAGTCATTTGAATAGACAGTAATGTGTTTCTTACCCATGTAGACAAAGCATGCCCCATGTAAATAAGGAATTTAGCTGAAGTGAAGAAGTCTCGGACAGACTCTGCAAAGGAAATATTCAACTGTTACATCTCCATCTCCATATCTTAATCCATGATGGATCCGTTGTGTTGGAATAATCTCGCATTGCAATGAGAAATAACCTACCACAGCACGTCTTCTTGGGTGCAGAGGTTTCCATTTTAAAGCTGTCCAAATGGCAAAAAAAACACCAACAACAACCAAGTGAGTGTTTCTTTTGTAATGCACCGTTGAAGCAGGTCGACCCCACTGTTATCTCTCAGCGACACCACAAACACAACAGCAAAGACAAAACTCACGGCGGGTTCTCTTTTTCCTCCTCTCCAAACTTAGCTATCACTGTAGCTGAAGTCGGAAAGAAATAATAGTAAACAGAAAGACAGAAGACACGAAGCTGTGAGGGCTGAATATCCAGCACCGGTCCGTGTGACGGCTGCCTCCTCTCTGCTGCTCTCTGTTGACGTCCTGCCTCGGATATAGCCACGCGGTCACGTGACTCGGTCATTTACATTGTGTCCTCCCACCGCACACACACACACACCACCACACACACACACACACACCACACACACCTCCACAACACACACCACACACACACACAGCACCACTGCTCACACACAAACCACGCTCAAACCACACACAAACGACGACGCTGTTAAAAGTAATAGAAAAGCTGAAAAAAGGTGTCATTGTTAACTTCAATCTACCTGTTTACCTGCGTGTGACGGATGTTCGATAATAATACTAATGATTAATGTGTTGTTGTGTAATAATACTCAGTTCTTAAGCATTATCAATATGTATTTATTACACTTCTGCTATGATCTTTATTTATGTATTATTATCTTTATTGATCTCTCTCTGTAAGCAATTTTACTTTTTTGTTGTTTTTGTTTGTTGTCTGAGTTGTTTGTTGTTTTTATATTTTATTGCTTTGTCTTTTACTGCAAACCATATATATATTATATAATGTTATAAACTGTTATATAATCAGTTTTGGATTAGTTATTCAAAAAATCTAATACATTATTACTTTACTTTCTCCCTGCCAAAGGTAGCAGTAACATTAGTTACACTACTAGTAATATTGTAACTAATTATTTTTTGGAGGAGTAACTGTAATGATATTACTGAAATTTATTAGTAATCAGTTACACTACTAGTTACTGGGGAAAGTATTTAGTATTAGTAATGAGTTACTGCCCACCACTAATATAATGTACATATTTTTACACACAGTTATTTTATCTTTCTCTTTTCTATATACATTGTTGTTATATGTTGTTATTTAATGCATACAGCCTATTTTAACGGTCTTATTATTATTTCTTATAATGTCTTTGTTGAGCAACTGATCAATAAAGTATTTCTTATTCTGATTTCGGATTTTAAGAACCCGCTGGATCAGGGAACAATACGCAGACTAAAAGATGTGGTGCTGTCAAAACAAATGGAGGGGAGAAGTGTAAAAGGTTAGAAATCTTACTCACTACTTCTACTACTACTACTACTTACAATAGAAAATATTCAAACTCTTTAACTGGCTCATTAGTGCAGATCATAATAATCATTTATTATTATAATATTACATTAATGTAACATCACTTTAATGGTGCAGCTGGAGCTATTTTTAGCTTAATATATAATAATATATCAAAATATATCAGGGAATTTATATTCTTTAATACTTATTTAACTATGCAAAGTAACTAAAGCTTTAAAA